TGTTATAAGATAAAATGGAACTGGGCTGACTTGCTCCCATGCGCTCATTTACCAGGTGTGTGCCCCTTTGGGTTCATAAGCAGTTCTGTTGCGGTGGGCAGGGCTACTGCTCCCATGTGCTGCAAGTGAGGAAACTGAGGCTCGGAGAGGTTACGTTTGCGTTAGGGTTAAGCCGAAAGTACCCCTGAGCCAGGATGCAGACATCTCAGCCGGAAATGGCTGGCCCCAGACTCCACACCCCTCCCTTCTCCTACACTCCTTAACTGTCATCTGACCCAGTGTGATTGGCGTCCACAGCCCAGTGTGGATGGCAGCCATGCCAGGCCTGGCTGGCCTGCCCAGCTGAGCCAAGCCCCAGCAAGAAGGCCAAGCCCAGGCACCGCATGCCCGCGTGGACCTCACATTCCTGCCTGCAGAGGCTGGTGGACCCCAGGCCGGCCCCACACCGCCTAAGCTGACCCCCCAAGGAACAAGCCCCGTCCACGGCCCCTCCCAGGGCCCGCCTCCTTTGCCTTTGACCCTGGAACAATGGATGGCATGGGAAGGGCCGGGAGGGAGGGCCAGACAATTCTGCACCATTTGGCTATCACTCCCCAGACCAAGTCCAAAGACAGGGACATGCAGGGGACCCACACCCGAGGCGGGTGGTGCGCCCCACGCCCTCTCCCTGTGGAGGACTGAGAGGTCGCAGCCCCGCCGGCACAAGGTCCACATGCCAGCCCCGCTGCCAGCCCCGCTGCCAGCCGCCCCGGGACAGGCCACCGAAGCTCCTGGACCTCGGTCTCCTTAGCCCACGGTGGTGACTCCCACAGAGAGTTCCGAACAAGGACTCCCCGCTGGGTAACTTAGCTCCTTTGGGAACATCTGGCAAGGTCTAGAAACTTCTTTGGTCCCTGCAGTAGGGAAGCAGAGTGAGGAGAGTGAAGACCAGGGCACTGCCAGCCCGGGCAGACAATCGCCCATCCATGATGTCACCAGGGCCTCGGAGGCGGACGTGCACGGGGCCTGGAGCGTTCCCTGACAGACTGGTCGTTACTGTGTGTCCGGAAGGAGAGAGGTCGTGGGGCAGAGGTGGCTGTGGGGGAGGGGTGCCCAGGAGGCAAAGCTCAGGTCGGCTGCCCGTCTCTGTGTTCTTCAGACGTCAGATGTCCACCACGCGTTCTGGGCTATGGACTCTGCTCATGGGGTCCTGCTCCCCCCTCCCCTGCCCTCATAGAGTGTCTGGTTCAGTCAGCCAGACCAAGCAGGGGACTCCTACTGACTCCCAAGTGCCCATCAATGAGGAGGAATGCAGGGCTTGAGGGGATGGCCGGGCTCAGGGGGTGGAGCATCTGCCTCACAAGTGCAAGGCCCTGAGTTCGAATCCCAGGACAGCTAAATATTTTTATTTTTTAAGATGAACAGGCAAATTGTATTCTGTTCAGGCTGTGGAAGATTATAGAGCAATCACAAGGCACTCTCCTGCATGGGGAACTTGGCATATAAATAAATAAAATTATTATGTTTTGAAAAGCCAAGTAAGAGTGTAAAGCCCTGAATTCAAATCCCAGTTACCCTACCCCCCACCTAACAAACGACCGTGCTGAGGTACAGCAAGCCAGGCCCAGTGTGGTCAGGTGGTGTTGGCCGAGCAGATGGGAACTGAGGAGTTCCAGGTTGAAGGGACACAGTCGATGGCCGTGAAAAGCCTCCGGGCCAGAGCCCCGTGTGTCCCCAGAGGGGGCAGCAGCCTGCACAGGACAGGGGGGGCCTTGCCTGAGCATCTGAGTGTGTGTACAGGCCTGGGGGGAGGGGGAGGACTGGGGAGGGGGAGGGGTCCCCCCTCCCCCTGTGGCTCATTGCCTTGTGACCTGGTGCCTTTCTTTGGTGTCCCCATCCAGGACAGAGAATGCCTCTCTCTCCATTGACTGGGGCTCTGTGTTGAGGCGGGGGGGGGGGTAATGGAGGGGGGAGCTGCGGTCACCCTGGGAGCTTCCTGTCATCCTGGTCCCTCCCAAACATCAGCTGCACCCTTGAAGAAGAGACTCAGCCTTTCAGTGTCTCCCCGCCCCTGCCCTCCCTCCCTCCCCTCCTCCCTCCCCCCCGCCCCAGGGGAGGAGGGAAGTGTGGTGGTAGCCACAGGCTTCCTTCCATTCCTGACCACTGGCCAAGCCAGAAAGCCTGGTCCCTGGCACGGGGCCGGGATGGGGCTTAGGTCTGGCGCCTCCCTGGGCTGGGCGCCCACCCCAGAATCTGGTTTTCTTTGGGAATGGGGAGGAACGTCAAGCATGGCGGCCGGGTTGTTTCCCAGGCCCCTGGCTTTCCTGTGGGGTTGGCCTTGTCACTTTCCTTTGCTCCCGCCAAGCGAAGGGACAGAATTAGCTGGGCACTGTCACTCCCTGGGCCCTCCAGGCAGCCAACCCATCCCAGAGAGGGACCAGAACTCAGCCTCCTGGGAATCTACCCAAGGCCTGTTCCCCTGGTTCCTCTGGGAAAAGATCCAGGAAAAGATTGAAAGCTCCTGGCCTGGGGGGGGGGGAGGGATAGGGGTGGGACCAGCCTTGTCCTGCCAATAGGAGAAGCCCCCAGGGTGGTGGGAACCGGAGAGGTCTCACCGCAGCCAAGATGACACTTTGTGCTCCCCAGGCCCCACGAGGGCCGCGGGGCTGTTCCCCAGGGAGCCTGGATGCATTCCTGGCCCACAGGCCAAGTCCAATGTCATGGAAAGCCCAGGCGTCCAGCTGGCAGGGCTGAGCGTGAGCAGAGCAGGCGCGGTGGACGCTGGCCTTGCCCGCACAGAGCCCTGGGTTCCAGCCCCAGCAAGATCCGTGGCTTCTCGGAGAGGGTCAGACATAGCAGAGAGGTCCTCCTCAGCCCCCCCCCCCCTCACCGAGAGGTGCCAACCCCACGGTGCCGGTGACAGATCCCGTGACAGACAGGTTCCTGCTCTGGGGACACAGCCACATTGTCCAGGCACACCAGGGCTGTGCAGACGCTCCTGGAGGAAACTTTGGGCGTAAGGTCTCCTGCTTTGGTGACTCACGTCCTCGGGGACTAAAAGGAAGGTGACAAGCGGGTCCTGGTGACGTCCCTCGTCACTGTCTGGCGTTGCAAGGCAGGGCCTTGCCCATCAGGCAAAGCACAGCTCAGATTCTGGACCTGGTCTGGCCTGGAGGCTGCATCCGCTTCCCTGGGCTCATCCGAAAGGAAGCTTTGGGGTAAGGGCAGGCAGCTGGCCCTTCAGAGCCCTCCCCACCATCACGATCCTGCTCCCCAAAGCCACCGTGTCCCTGCCATCTCGCACCTGCTTTTCTCCATAATGCTATACTGTCCTCCTATATCCCCCTGGTGGGCTTGCTGGATCATGTGGGCAATGCTGGCCAATCAGGGGAGAGCAAAAATGACATCATTTGTTGCCAGGCAGTGCCAGGCTAGCCAGGTGGTTACCCCTGGAGCCATCCTGGTCATAAAGACAGAAACCACTATGGGAAGCTGTGGAGGTTTGGGGGTGTATGCCACATCTTGGTGAATACATCCCAGCTCTGGGGTCCTTGAAGTCTTTGGGTGGTCACTAATGAGTGACCAGGTGTGGCAGACTCGTCTCCTAAAGGAAGCCTCATGTCTGCAAAAGCCACGAGGACAGAGGCCACTCACCGGAGGCCACGTTGTTCCCCCATCCCTACCGGCCCAGGCCAAGGTCTACTGGACCTCGTGCCATGGCAGAGCAGCAGCAGAGATCACGGGGCATCTCCACCAGCAGCCCAGCCTGTGTCAGTTCTTCCTGCCACTCCAGCCTCCCCAGCTCCTGAGGCCGATTGGGGGTACGGGAACATAGCACCCCATACCACTTCCACTCTGCTCTTTGGTCTGAGCTATCCTCTGCCATGGCCGTGGGCTCCAGGAAAGACGGGGTCCACAGTGAGCATGTGGGGTGCAGGCACACCGCCCACACCGGCTGCAAACAGCCAAAAAACTCAGGGATACCTTGTTCCTGTTCTGTTTCAGTTAAGAAAGTGAGAAGCCAGGCACTGGTGCTCATGCCTATAATCCTAGCTACTCAGGAGGCTGAGATCTGAGGATCACAGTCCCAAGCCAGTCTGGGCAGGAAAGTCCATGAGACTCTTACTCCAATGAAGAACTCGGAAAACTGGACGTGGCGCTGTGGCTCAAGCGGTAGAGTGCCCGCCTTGAGCTGAAGAGCTGAGGGACAGCGCCCAGGCCCAGAGTTCAAGTCCTACGACTGACCTTAAAAGAAAAAAAAAGTGAGAAGAATTCTCCAGAACTCCTCCAAGGACAAAGGCTGAGCTCAAGGTCACCCTGGCCTCACCTGTGAGCTGGGGCTATTGTAACTCTGCAGACCTCCTTCCTCCTCCTCTGCCCCCCCCCCCCAGTTTCTCACTGTTTAACCTGAAGCCAATGCTGCACCCTGGAAGACTCAAGATGTCCTGAAGCACTGTCTCCCCATGCCCTGGAGTAAAGCCTTCTCCGCTCTGTCCTCTGCCCTGCACCCTGTTTTTTATTTGACGTCTGGGGGTCAGTGGCTGGACCAGCCTTGGGACTCCTGGGCTTGGGGCCTCTCAGAACCTTGTTTCAATGAGGTGTCCCTGTGTCCTGGGGCTCCTGAGCCCCTCTCCACCTGATAATTCGCATCTTGCACTGGTGTTTTCCAAGTGTGGGCTTTGCAGACGCATGCACGTGGACCCGGCTCTGCTCACCCTGAGGTGCCGATGCACCACCCGGGGAGCAAACTTCTGGGCTATTTTCAGGGACACCAGGCATGTTGGGAAGGGACTTGGCCAAGTTAGGAAGGAGCCAAGCATCTCCTTCTGCCCTCAGGCCTTGGCTCTGGCTTTGGACCTCGGCCTGGCGGGGCTTGCTTCTCTGCCCCAGGCGGCTGGGTGTCCCGGGCTGGGTGTCCGGGGCTGGGTGTCCCGGGCTGACCGACCTCTCTCAAAGGATGCTGCTTTGTGGTGGTGACTTGCTCCCTCCCAACTGCCCTCTAAGGATTTGAACAAAGGAACTCATAAAAGCCATCTTTCTTTTTATTTTTCATTCCTGCCGTTCGACCAGTTTGTGCAAGCTGAGACTGAGTGGGCTGGGGGGGGGTGGTGGGGGAAGACAGAACTCCTGGAAGCAGACCCTTCTGGAATAAGTCTATGCACACTGCTGAGGCTGGTTAGGTTTGAGAAGCCGTTTAACAATAAACTCTATAGAATTAGAAATATACCAAAGTGTCAAGGTGGCTGCTGGCTGGCTTCTTGTCTCCTCCTGGGGAGAGAGGGGGCTAACACCCATCTGTCCTGTGCAAAGGTCCTGGGGCTGATCTGGGGAGCTGCCAGATTCTTCCTTGAGCAGCTCCGCTCATCCCTTGCAGAAATGTGCCAGCGGACAGGTGCCCGGGTGTGTGCCTGGGGTGCCTTGGCCCCTTAGGTCCGTGACTCCTTGAGCAAGTCTCTGCTTCCGGTCTCTATGTTCGCCCCTTGAAAGTATTCATGCAGGTGTAGGTTCCTGAAAATCTGTGGATCTCCTCCAATGCGGCCTGTGGGAGAATGCTGCGGGAGAGGGTAGGCAAGGATGGTCAGGAGGGTTGGGGTGGGGGGGGGCCATACCCCAGCTCCTTCCATGTCACACGGGGGGGGGGGGCTGTTGCCTGCTAACTGGGAGGGGCCAGACTCCTGGCTCGGGGAGGAAGCTGTCCCTGTAGGGCTGAGGAAACCATGGGCGCTGCATGGGGACGGCCACGTGTCCCAGCCCCCTTCACTGAGGGGCTGGGACGGCAACGGCTCACTGAGGAAGATCTGGAACATTCTATAGGAACCTGACGCTGGGAAAACTCTGGGGATAGGAGACTGTTGGGAGGTGGTCTATGAAGTTCCGGTGAATTCTGAACCTTTGGCATCAAGACCCCTGGGCTCCTCACTAAGACTAAACGTCCCGAGGGCTGGGAGCATCGCTAATTCTCCATCAGACAGTGGTGCTCCAAGTGTGGCCTGGGAGCCCCTGGGGGTGCCTGAGATCTCCTCAGGGGACTCTGAGGTCAGGTGACTTTTATAATAATAAAAAAGGAAGGCATCACGTGGCCTTATGGCTCCTACTCTGTCAGGAGTGCACAGTGGAGTTTTCCAGAGACTTTGGTGACATGGAATATCTATCACAAGAGAATAAAATGAGAATCTAGGCTGCAATGTGGCTCAGTGGTAGAGTGCTTGCTTAGTGAGCATGAAGCCCTGGGTTCAATTCCACATAAACAGAAAAAACCGGAAGTGGCGCTATGGCTCAAGGGGTAGTGTGCTAGCCTTGAGCAAAAGAATCTCAGGGACAGTGCCCAGGCCCTGAGTTCAAGCCCCAGGACTGGCAAAAAAGAAAAAACAACAACAACAAGAGAATCTAGTTGTGAAACGTCATCGCTCCTGAAGAGTTGTTATTTTTTGTAGAATATCTACCTACATGAACGTATTAATGGACCGGGCCCTGGCACATCCCTGTAACCCTGTACTTGCCAAGGCTGAAACAGGTAGATCATGAGTTCAAGGTGAGCCTTGGCTACACAGCAAGGTTGTATCTCAGGAAAAGAAAAACAAAAACAACTAAAAAAGAACTAACAAGAGGGGCTGGGAAGGTGGCTCAGTGGTAGAGCGCTTGCCTTGCATGCCTGAGGCCCTGGGTTCGATTCCTCAGCACCACATACGCAGGGGGAAAAAAAGCCAGAAGTGGCGCTGTGGCTCAAGTGGTAGAGTGCTAACCTTGAGCTGAAGAGCTGAGGGACAGTGCCCAGGCCTAGAGTTCAGGCCCCAGGACCGGCAAAAATAAATAAACAAATAAATAAACAAACAAGAACTCACCCCTCCTCCAACCCTCAAATAACCTATTTATTTTCCTTGTGTGTGTTAGTATTGGAGCTCACACTGTCCTTTAGCTTTCTTTACTCAAGAATGGCACTCTACCATTTGAAGCACACTCCACTTCCAGCTTTTTTTTTTTTTTTTTTTTTTGCAGATTAATTGGGAGTCTCACGGACTTTAGGCCTGGACTGGTTTCAAATCTCAACTTCCTGAGTAGCTACTATTATGGGTGTGAGTCATCAGTGCTTGTCCACATTCATATTAATTTAACAGAACACATACTGTATCCATTTTTTCCTATTTTAATTTCTAACGCAGTGAACAGTGGTTCCTCAATGATTTCTAGACTTACAGGTTTCTGAGACCAAATTGGAGATCCACTGTCCTATGCTCAAGACAGCATCCTCTCATTCCCCTGCCTATGGCAGACATGACTAATCGAGCCCATATGCACATTTCCAGCTGGATGCCTCTTCCCCACCAGGGGTAAGGTTTGGCGGGAGCCCAGCCTAGAGGCTCCTCCCACAGCCTCATACCTTTTCAAGATAATGAGGATATTCATTGTCCACGGGAGCAGGAGGAGGGCCTGATTTAGCTGCACAGCTTCCACTGTCCTCCGGGCCACGGTCTCCGGCTTCAACGGGGGAAAGAGGTTGGGAAACCTGAAGGCAGGCAGACACAGGAGGTCTCCCTTGTAGAGGCCTGCACTCCTGCCAGGGGCCTCGGTGTGGCCTCCACTTCTGGGCCTCTCTGTCCTCTGCTGGATGAGGGCCTCGAAGCTGTGGAATTCCCTCTCTCATCCCAGACCTCCCAGAATTCCCAAGGCATGCGAGTGGGGGCTCCCAGCTAGCAGGGGGTCCCCAGGAAAATCAAGGAGCTCATCCTCCTCTGCACCATTTCCAGAGTCCTCCAGGTGCTCGTGGAGCTCTGCAGTCCAGGCCCCGCCCCGCCTCACACTCTGACCTCCTCTTCCCTTCCTTCTGCTCCAGCAGCACCTCTCAGCCCTTCTCTGCTACGGCCTCCTCCCACTGTCCCAACAGGCTGGCTCACTCCCGGCTCCTCCAATCCCATTCGACCTTGAGCAGCCTCTGGTCTATGGAGAGCCAAATGACAGCTATGGGCTTTAACTCTATCATGTTTAAAATGCCTGCCCCCTTTTGTGTGCTTGCTAGTACTGGGGCTTGAACTTAGGACTTGGGCACTGTCTAGCTCTTTTGCTCAAGACCAGTGCTCTACCCCTTGAACCCAGTGCCATTTCTTTCCCCCGCCATTCTTTCTTTTGGTGGTTAATTGGAGATAAGAGTCTCACAGAATTTGCTGCCCAGGCTGGCTTTTAACTGTGATCCTCAGATCTCAGCCTCCTGAGTAGCTAGGATTACAAGGTGTGAGCCACCAGTGCCTGGCTGGTTGTGTCTTTATTAATGGCTGGTGTCCTCCATCAGACTGTGAATCCCACGGGGGCAGAGGCCTGGTTCTAGCAGTATCCAGCACTTAGCAGATGCTAAACAAATAACTTGCTGAATATGAACACCAAGCAACTTCTCTCGGCATGTCTTGTTCTTGTCTGGAGGCAAGTGCTCTGCTGGAGATACCTGCCTGGCATTCATTCATTCATTCATTCACTGATTTATTGATCATTCAAACATGTGTAGCATTCATCCTAAGGGATTTCCAAATGAATGAATGAATGAATGAATGAATGAACAACAGACATCAGGGAGGTGGTCATGCCTACGCAGAAGCCTCTGATCCCAGAGCCGTACCTTGATGATGCACCCTAAAGACCAGGCCTGGGAGCTATGGTGAACTAGGCTTGTACAAGGTCTAGGCTTTTGTTTTTCCCATCTTCCTGGGCTTAAGGCACTGCTGGTTCTGACCTCCGCCCCACAAAGAGCTCACGCCTCCCTGTGGCACCAGGAAGAGTCCTTGGGTCTGCTGAGCAACAGGCAGGTTCCAGGATCCCAGGCTCCCTCCCTGCGCTTTCTCCTGCTACAGCGTCAACGGCACGTTCTACAATGCCAGCTTGGCATTCTAGAAGGCGCAGACTCCACGGAGGCTGGTCTGGACTCCTCAGCCTCCACCTGCAGCCAGCCCTGCCTCTGGGAGGGGTGAGGACAGAGTGGACGGACTCCGCTCCGGGGGGATCTTCCTGGTGGGACCCCTGCTGGACCGGAGGAGCAATCTCAAGCATCTGCTGGTGGGAATTTTTCCCCCTATGGTGGACAGGATGGGAAGCAGGCCCACAGGGAATGGCTCAGCTGTGTGGCCTGGGCCCATTACTGCTCCCTGAGCCTCTGTTTCTGGATCAGGAAATCAGGGCTCAGAGCTCTGCCAGAGCAGCCCAAGGCCCCAGTGCAGTGTGGTGTGGCTGGAATACAATATACCAATAAATAGGACTGACAAACACTAGTGCCACCAACAAAATAGGAATCCCCTTGGATAAATGAGGAGAGCGAGGCACAGAAAAGTCAAGTCACTTGCCCAAAGTCACACAGAACTGGAATTCTACCTCAGACCGTTTGTGCTCATCTGCCGACCCAGTAAGGAAAAATGACTTGGGGGAGGGGAGCTTGAATTGTGGCTGAGGCCGGGTCTTACTGTGTTGCCCAGGATGGCTTCTAAATTGTGATCCTCCTGCCTCAGCCTCCTGAGTGCTGGGATTAGATTTTTCAAGTAGAGAGGAAAAATGGCAGAAGGAGAAGCAGACACGCTCACACAGACGCGAAGGCTGCCGATGCATCCCTCCTCCCCATTCCTAGAGCATCCAGTTAAATGATAGTTTGCCCCCAGACCGCCAACATGCATTTACTGGACACCTCTTATATACTTAGATGAAAAGAGAAGAAACTGAGTTCCCAAGGGGAAAAACCAAGCCGGGCGCTGGTGGCTCACGCCTGTAATCCTAGCTACTCAGGAGGCTGAGATCTGAGGATCGCGGTTCAAAGCCAGCCGGGGCAGGAGAGACTGTGAGACTCCTATCTCCAATAAACCACCAGAAAACCGGAAGTGGCGCTGTAGCTCAAGTGGTAGAGCGCTCGCCTTGAGCTGAAGAGCTGAGGGACAGCGCCCAGGCCCAGAGTTCAAAAAAAAAAAAAGGGGGAAAAACCAAATTCTCTCATGGGTCATTAACTAGTAGCAGGCATGTTGATGAAGCAATTTCCTTCCTTCCTTCCTTCCTTCCTTCCTTCCTTCCTTCCTTCCTTCTTCTCTCCTTCCCTTTCCCTTCCTTTCTTTCGTTTTTTTTTTGGCAGTCCTGGAGTTTGCACTCAGGGCCTCGTGCTTGCTAGGCAGATACTCTACTGCTGAGTCACCCCTTGACTCCCCACCTCCCTGGACCCTGTTTTGGGGTGCTGCTTATTTTTGAGTTAGGGTCTCACTTCCTGCTCAGGTGTGTACCTGGACTACGATCCTCCTGGTTTTCACTCCCTAGCCCGTAGCGGGGATGCACACCACCCTAGGCTCTTCTTGCTCAGAGTGGCCTGGAATTACAGTCTTCTCAAACTCAGTCTCTTACAAAGTTAGGAATGACAGGTATGTGCCACTCTACTCAGCCATGGGTTGAAATGAAGTCTTGTGGACTTTTTTTTGGGGGGGGGGCGTCCTGGGGCTGGCCTCAAACCACAGACATCCTATTCTCAGTCTCCCAAGTAGCTAGAATTACTAGCGTAAGCCACCAGTGCCGGGCTGAAGGTATTTATTGTTAGTAAAAACCGTAACTGGCCCAGCAGCTCTTTACTGAGCAGCTACTACTCTACGCTGGGCTTTGCCCTAGGGGCTTTACATGGATGGCTTCTAATTTGCCCAGTGATCCTATGAAGCAAATATTATTTCCATCATTTTACAGACAAGCAAGAAATAAAATGAAATGAAATGCTTTGAGGCAACCGAACAAGCCCAAAGTTCCACAGCTGCAGAGTAGCTGAGGTGTGACCCAAAACCAGGCATTTCCATTTCGTGATGAGCCAAACTACGCTGCCCCTGTCGCTAGCCGCTAAGGCACGCGGAGTGATTCCTGCGTGGCTTCACCCAGCTGAAGAATCTCCTCCGCCTCTCACGGTGGCCTGCCATGCTGTCTTCATGTCACTTGCTTATTTCTTTTGGATGCTAAGGATGGCACCCAGGGCTTTGGGCCTGCTGGGCCAGGGCTTCTCTACTGAGCTGCACCCACAAGTCCCAAGCCTCGCTTCTGGAAGACGCTGAAGCGTGTCATCAGAAGGTAGACCGCTGGAAGCTGGATGGTGGTAACACACACGGGGTTAGGTGTGTGTGGTCATCCCTGGTTTTTGTTATCGGGTAATCTGATGTCCTTAAACAATGGTCCATCATTATTGTGCCATTTGCTGAGTTCTTGGTATGTAGCAAGATGGCTATGAAGGCTAAGGCAGCAACTCATCAGACTTGATGTCACCCAGTGACAGGGGAGCCTGGTTCCCAAGCACACGCTCCCTTGCTGGCCTTGGTCTGCAGGGGCTGGGGACAGCTGGGCCTCTCCAGTCCCTTTACATCTGCCTATGACGAATATACAATCAAAGGCACACCACTTGATTAATACAAACCAGGAGTGGGGGAGGGGGGAGGAAGGGGGACTTTCTAAAAGCCCACAATGCGCAGGGCACTGGTGGCTCCAGCCCATAACCCTAGCTATTCAGGAGGCTGTGATCTGAGGACCATGGTTCAAAGCCAGCCTGGGTAAGAAACTCTGTGAGACCCTTGTTTCCAATAAACCACCAAAGGGTCAGAAGTGGAGCTGTGGCTCAAGTGGTAGAATGCTAGCCTTGAGCAAAAAGAAAAAAAAAAAAACAGCTCAGGGACAGTACACAGGCTGTGATTCAAGCCTCAGGACAGATGAACAGACAGCCAGCCAGACACACATATACCCCCCCTCCCCCAAAGCCCAGAAAGTTCCCTGGGGCTCCCTTCTTTACCTCTATCCCTTTCCCTCAGGGCTGTCCCCCTGGTCTGTTCCTAGAAGCCTAGGCCAGTCTCGCACCTTCTAGAATTCCACACACATGGAATCAGGCAAAGGGTCCTGTTGCTTTCACTCACCGCCATGCTTCTGAGTCACCAGGCAGCTCATGTTTACTACTCTGCTTTCTTTGTGTCTCCATGTAGCATTCCACTGCACGCGCTCAGCCCCGGGGCTCTGGACAAGCTCTGAGAATCAGGACCCTACGCTGCTGGAGTATCCCAGCGCCCTGCAGATGGAGGAGCAGCTCCCAGAGCCCGAGGCCGAGGCCAAGGCATGCAGTGGACTGGGTGGACAGGCTTGGGGGAGGTGGCTGACCTGACCCTCATGCCCTGGAACATCTCGGTGCTGGTGTGGAAGGGCAGCACGGTGGTGGCGTTGACGCCCGGACAGTCCAGCAGCCCCAGGGTCAGGCTCTCCATGAAGGCAAAGGCCGAGGCCTTCGATGTGCAGTAATCGATGGCACCGGGGATGGCGGACAGCGCCAGCACGGAATTGAGGCACACGATGTGGCCGTTCTGCAGCTCCAGCATGCGCGGCAGGAAGGCCTTGGTGGTCTGGCGGGGGAGACGGGGGGACGGGGTCAGCACGGAGCAGAGGCAGATTCTGAATCCCTCCATCCCAGCTGACCCACAGCTCCACCCGGGACCGAGCTCTCCTGCGGGGGGTTGGGCGGGGAGCAGTCAAAAGCTGATGGCTCTCCTCAGGCCGGTCATTCTGGCCTGGACCCCATTCCCCCTCCGTCCCCCCAGATCCCATCATGCTCTGGGCCTTACCCAAAACTGGCCCAGGGTGTTGATGTGCTGGGACTTGAGGAGGGCATCGTCGTCGCTGTCCATCAGGCTCTTCCCGTGGACCACGGCGGCGTTGTTCACCAGGATGGTGATGTCTCCCACCTGTGGGCAGGACCGGGCCCAGGGCCACGACGGCAGTCAGCCTCGGTGGCTGCCACCCGGACAGACCCAACCCGACTCCACAGCGGGCTGTCACGTGGCCTTAGGAAGCTGCGTGGCTCCTCTGAGCCTCACCCTGGGATTATCAGTGGCATTAGTGACAGCCACTGGTGCCCGAGGACTAGACATCATCATGGCGCCTGTATGCCTGGGCCGTGGCTATGTAGAGTAACTGAGGTGATGATCATGAATCAAGACATTTTAACCGGGGACTCATGGTCAGAAGCTGAGATTTTAAAGATCATAGTTTGCAGCCAGGCCAGGCAGGAAAGTCCTAGAAAGTGGGACATGGAGCTGTGGCTCAAGGTGTAGAGGGCCAGCCATGAGCAAAAAAAGCTCAGGGACAGTGCTCAGGTCTTAAGTTCAAGCCCCAGGACCCAGGTGCACATGTACACATACGCATATACACACACATGCACAATTACATGTGAGCAATACCCATGCACACATGCATGTGTGTACACAAATGCACACAGATTTGAATCAAGTGTATTTTCCTCTCTGGGAGTTCACAGGTACTCTCAGCCCACATAGATGGCTGGACTCAGGATAAGGATTTTCCCAGAAGGCAGTGGGACATTTGCCACTGATGCTCATGGGGAGAAAGCCCCAGGGGCTAAACTTCCAAGGGGTGGAGGTGGAGGTGTGGCTCCCGTGGTAGAGCACTTGCCTAGCAGGTGCAAGCGCTCTCCCAAATATGGTTCAATGTCATCGTTCATTGTTTCCAAGGGGACCACAAAGATGATTATTAATTATGATTATTATTATATTCCTGTTGCAAAGTCATCTCCGCTCCCCACCCAAGTAACTTGAACCTGTTTCATGGGGAATGTTCCAGAAGGTTCCCTGGACCAGCTGGTCTGCCCTAAGCTTCGGGTCTCTGAGCATTTCCCCTTGCCAGTGCCCCCCTGAGCACAGAGGACGGGCGTCCCGCACTACCTTCTCCCGGACAGCCTTGGCCGTCTGGTACACCTCCTCTCGGTTGCCCACGTCACAGATGAAGTAGTGGCACTCGGTGCCCATCTGCCGAACCTCCTCCGTCGTCTCCCTCAGACACTTCTCTGTCCGGCCCCAGAGAACAATCTAGGAGAGAATAATAACCCATAACCAGTGGTTAAGAAGCCAGCCAGAGAGATGCAAAATTGCTACCAGAAATGCAGTCATTTAACACATGAAGGCAAATGAACCCGGGCGCCCGTGAAGGGACAGCGCCTGCTGCTCTCGCGGGAAGCAGTAGCATAGTGGAGCTTGTTCTGTAAGACGTTCCAGAATGTTCTGTTAGGAAGGAGCCCACCTCCTCAACCAGCGAGGTCTGGAGCTGAGATTCTTCACCTCAGTTGTCAGGAAGGGTGGAAGGGAGGATGGAAGAAGGAACTAGAAGGAACCACAGCCCCACTGGACAGGTAATCACAGGAGGTGACTGGTGGGCACCAAAGGGCTGAGCAAATTTATGAATGGACAGCCCATAAACGCTGGAAAGGGAAGCCCTGCCCTTCTAAAGGAGGACATGCTTGGCCCCACAGGAGTTAAGGGGGTCAACAGCCCTAGGGACAGACAGAAAAGTGGGTGCTGGAGGCTGTTGGGGTTTACCCCAACGAAAACAAAATGAGCCAGGTGCAGAGTGGCTCTCGCTTCTCATTCTAGCTGGCAGCTGAGATCTAGAGGATTGAGGTTTGAGGCTAGCTCTGGCAGAACAGTCTCTGAGACGGCCATCTCCAACTAACCAGCTAAAAGATGAGCTAGAGTTGTGGCTCAAGTGGTAGAATGCCAACCAAGTAAGTCATCCAGTGCAAGGCCCTGAGTTCAATGTCTGGTACTGACAAAAATTAATAAATAAATAAAATTAAAAGCAAAACCAAAAATAATGGTTGCTTTAGGAAGGGAAGGGAAGTTTCCAAACTGCAGGCTTACACATGGTAGGCCTGGTTACATGTGAGTAGACTCTCCTTGGTTCTTCACAGTAGAGCAAAAACTCACCTAGACGACTAGATGACAGGTTGTGAATGATCAGTTTCTCTTTGCTTGAAATCTCAGAAGTTGCACTCAGACAACTCAGAGGGAGGATTCTGGTGGCCTCTCATCAACTGAAGGGGTTCTCTCTCTGTTTTTGGTGATACTGGCTTTGAACTCAGGCGTTCATGCTTGCTCAGCAGGTGCTATCAACTTGAGTCATGCCCTGCGTCTTTTTGTGTGTGTGATAAGGCCTGACTTTCTGGACTGTAATCCTCCTATTTTAGGATGACAGTCAGCCTGCCAACCACACTCAGCTACCCACTGAGAAGGGGTCTGGTAAACTGTTCTGTCTAGTCTGTTCTCAGACTGTGACTCTTCCGATCTCAGCTTTCCAAATATCTAGGATTTTAGGCATGAGCCTCTGGCACGTGGCTTGGATTTGAGGTTTTTTAAAGAAAGAAAATCAGAATGTTCTCTTGATGCCTAAAACTGGTCTGAGAGCCTCCACTGTCTGCCCGAAACCCAGGAAAGGTTTCTACAAAGGAGGGTCTTACCCTTGTCCATGACCACAAACATCCATCCTGGACAGACAGACTGCAATCAGACAGGCTCTGGGCACTCTTGATGGTTGGGCTAAAACACTTAGATGGGTTTGTCCAGCACAGGCTGGGGGGGGGTGCGGTAGGGGGCTCAGTTAATGAAGAATAAAAATTATCCAGGAATGAAATTTGGTCTAAGTACCCTAAACTCTCCCAGACCTGTCACTGACATATTTCATTTTATTGTCCCATGTTACTCCATCTACTCAGCCACCCATCCACCCATCCACCCATCCATCCATCCATCCATCCATTCATCCATCCACCATCCTTTATCCAACCACCCACCCATTTCTGAGCAAGTCAGCCTGAGATACAGGGAATCCTAGCTTCCTTTTCCTGCTCTGGTCACTTGTGGCTCAGTGGGCAATAGGGGGTGGAGCTTGCTTACTTCCCTGAGTGTGGTTAAGGCAGATCTTTGGGGATCTTAAGAACTGTGGTTGCTGGGTGCCGGTGGCTCACACCTGTAATCCTCACTACTCAGGAGGCTGAGATCTGAGGATCGCAGTTCAAAGCCAGCCTGGGCAAATAAAGTCCGTAAAACTCTTATCTCCAATAAACCATGAGAAAACTGGAAATGGTGCTGTAGCTCAAGTGGTAGAGTGCTAGCCTTGAGCTGAAGAGCTGAGGGACAGCGCCCAGGCCCAAAGTTCAAGCCCCAGGACTGACAAAAAATAAATAAAAGAACTTGTGGTCGTCAGCAGAGAGAAGGTAAGGCTGAGGAGTGTTTCTGGAAGGTCAGGCACAGCTGGCCAGGACAAGTGATGGCCCCCTGGGGTCCTGATGGCTCCTGTCACAGGGGGAGCAGGGAGGCACTGGGTTCCATCGGAAGGGAACTGGGGGCTCAGATGAAAGAACTCTTGCTGGTTCTTGGAGGGGGGATAGAGAACCAGGGCCTCATGGAACCCGGGGTCTGTCCCGAAAGCCTGCAGTCAGGAAGTTGGCAGGGTTAGAGCACCATGGGGCGGGGCTGTGCCAGAGGAAACAGAGGCGGAGGCCCACTCTCTCTCTTGTGAACGGGCGGGACTTCAGCGCCCTGAAGCTCGGGTGTGCTCTGAGGATCTGTTGAGGCCGTCCCTTGTGGGCTGGCTCCACCTCTTCCTGATGCCATCCCAGCCTTTCTGCCCCCCCCCTCCCCAGGCCGGGAGGCCCCTGGGGGCCTGGTAGTGTCACAGTCCTTCCCTGGGGGTCTGTGTAGGCCGGGTGCAGGGGTGCCGCAGAGCCTCTTCCTGACCTGCCTATGGGGAGGCTGGCACAGTGGCTGGAGATCTGCCAGGGGACAGGGCCTCAGCCTCGGGCAAAAGGGAGTCCCGGCTGGTGCTCGCAAGCCTGGCTGTGTCTATGTGTCTGCAAGACTCTGTGTATCTGGGTTTTTTTCTTTTTGGTGCTGGTACTGGGTCTTGAACTCAGGGCCTGGGGGCTGTCCCTCAGCTCTTCAGCTCAAGGTAAGCGCTCTACCACTTGAGCCACAGCATCATTTCCAGCTTTCTGATGGTTTGTTGGAGATAAGAGTCTCATGGACTTTCCAGCCCAGGCTGGCTTTGAACCACAATCCTCAGATCTCAGCCTCCTGAGTAGCTAGGATGACAGGCGTGAGCCAGGCTCGCCTTCTGGTTTTTTAGAGGTTCACTGGAGATAAGAATCTCATAGACTTCCCTACCCAGGTTGGCGTGGTATGTGATGCTCTGATGTCAGTTTCCTGAATAGTCAGGGTGACAGGTGTGAGCCACCGGCACCCAGTTTGAGTGTCTTATTTCCACCTGAGTCTCGATGTACATGTCTGCGTGTTTGGTGTGCTGTGTTTCTCGGGTTCTAGAACCTGGGCCTGGAACCCTTGTGGGATGGGCTGTTTCCATGGTGATGGATGGCCAGGGCACAGGAGTGGAGGGCCGGGGCTCTGCTGGAGGAGTGGCTCCGCCCACTCCCCCTCCCTCCCTGGGAATCAGAGCCCCTTTCAGAGAAGCTGACAGGTTAAGCGCCCTGCCCAGGGCCAGAGAGGGCAAGGGGGGGTGGGCATGCAGGGGTGTGGGGCAGCCCAGGGAGCCAGCTGGGCCTCTCTTAACTCACTCCTGTGACAGGGAGCGGCTGGGAGGGCCAGAACCCCAGGATTGACTCCTAAACTGGGTTTATAAAATCAGGAGCTTGGTGGCTGGATGCCTCCTGACCTGCCGCCCCCCTCTGGGGCAAAGATCAGCCCCTGCCCTTTCCCCTCCGGTGACAGCCCCAGGGGGGAGGGGTCCTGTCATTCAGGCCTGGTTCTCGATGTCTGTCTGTGGACAGCGAATAGTGTCCCATGCAAAAAGTGTTGTACAGGATGGAAGCAGCAAAAGCTTCCCCGTAGATCTTGCTGTCAGCGGATTCGGTAAGCACAGGCAGCTCAGCTGGGCAGGGCTGCCCCTGGGTGACGCCCTGCAGGGTTCTTATTCTCTATAAGGTGGACGGCCTGTTCACACTTCTCTGTGTGAAACACCAAGGTGATCGGCTGACTTCTAGGCATCCTGCAGAACCCTCTGGAAATGTCCCCACCCTCCTGAACCTTCCTAGGTGTCTCCTTCCATCCTGTCTCTCTGAGAGTGCACAGCAGCAAACATCTGTCACAAGGCACAGATGTGTTTTCTCCTTCCATAGTTAAGACCTGTATGTGTGTGTGTGTGTGTGTGTGTGTGTAGGATTGAGGGTACAGATAAGGCGAGGTGTCCGGTGAATCTCACCCCTACTGCCAACCTGACACCTGGTGTGTGCCTGTCAGTGCCAGCTGTCCCCGCCCCTTCCTGGTGAGCCCTGACATCTTCTGGGAAATCTCAGGGATCTCTCACATCGAACGTGGGCAGGCACAAAGGAAAAGCACAACGAATGTCTGTCACATGTCACTGGGCTCCAGAGGCTTCTAGCAAAATCTGTGTGAGGGACATGGGTGCTCCAGCCTTGCTTTCCTCGCCGCCATGTCTGGACTATGGAGCTGAGCTGGGGGTCTGGGGCGCCTCCCCCCCGCAGGTCTAGGGCAGTCCAGCTCATGGCTCAGGGTCTTGATTGTGCAGAAGGAAGGGGTTCCCCACCGGGGACCCAAAAGCACGGTAGGCTGGGTGGCGGGGTGGATGGGGGGTGCAGCTGCCTCTGTGTCCCCATTACCAGGAGGGGGGCAGCAGGGGAGAGGAGTCAGCAGGTGAAACTTGGTCTGTGGCCCAGTTAGATCCAGATCAGTCTAGGACAGAGCCCGGTGACTGTGTGCCGGAGGGCGGGCCCAGGACAGCAGAAGTAGGGGCATGGTACCTCTTATTCAAAGAGGATGGGGGAGTGGGGGGCAGGCTGTACAGCAGAGCTCATGCCTACATGCCTTGGGTTCTATCCCCCGTAGTGCAAATGAGATACAGCCGGGTGCCAGTGGCTCAGGCCTGTCATCCTAGCTACTCAGGAGGCTGAGGTCTGAGGATCATGGTTCAAAGCCAGCCTGGGAAGAGACTCTTCTCTCCAATTAACCAGCAAAAAAAAGTGGAAAAGGAGATGTGGCTCAAGGGGTAGAGCACCAG